CCCTGAGGGCAGGGACAGTGTCTGGGTCAGGCTTGATGCCCCTGTTCCCATGGTGACACTGAAGGAGGGCTCTAAAGGAGCACAGCGGGAATCCAGGCCGCCCCTTTCCTCCGTCTGGTTGACATAGTGAGAGGGGCAGCGGAGTGGGGAGAAGGCAGCAAGGAGCCGGGGGCCCACAGCGACCAGGGAACTGGCCCGCTCCTTCAGTCCACGCTCGTTTCTCACGCTCTGGGGGCCCCCTCTCCAGGGGCTGACATGATGGAAAGAAAAACCCAGCTGATCACCAACAGAAGGGCCTCCCCCAGGTTGCCACAGGGGACGGAAGGGGCACATTTGCCAAGAGATAGGGAACAGGGTGCGTGAGCCAGGGACACCCAGCCCAAGGGGAAGGTCAGGTAGCCCTAAGCATGAATGGTGTGACCTTTGCCCGAAGGTCACCCAGGACAAGAGGGCCAGCCTCCTCTGAAGGTGCATCTTCCTGGGTCAAGAACCCCTTTGGCATCTGGGGAAGCCCATAGACCCTTTCTCAGAATACTGTTTTAAAATACCTATAAGATCCACAGAATTTCAGTGGGAACAATGATGTTTAATACTGGTAATCAAAATATTTGTAAGTGTAATATAGTGATACTAGAGGCCCGGTGCATGAAATTTGTGCACTGGGGGGGTGGGCACGGTCCGCTCAGCCTGGCCTGTGCCCTCTCGCAGTGCGGAACCCCTAATTCCTTACCGTCCGCCTGCTGGCTGCTTCCTACTGCTCAGCTTGCTGCTCCTTCGTGCTGCACGGAGGCTCCCGCCGCCGCTGCCCTCGCCAGCCGTAAGCCCAGCTTCTGGCTGAGTGGTGCTCCCCCTGTGGGAGCACATTGACCACCAGGCAGCACCTCCTATGTTGAGCGTCTGCCCCCTGGTCGTCAGTTCATAGCGACCAGTCATTCCACCATTCAATCAATTTGCATATTAGGGTTTTATTATATAGGATATGTGCATCTTTATGAGTGCCTTAAAACAAAATCTAGGAGCAAGTCTAATACCTTCATTTTGAAGTGAAGATGAATTTAAATGACCTTTCAAGGTACCCCACCACAATCATAAATGATATGAAAATATCTGTGATTTCTACAGGTGACAAAGTCACAGGCGCTACTGTGATTTGAGACCCACACTCACACTGGAAGAAAATGCTCCAATTCAGTGGGAGGTGAGTGAAAATTAAGGTGTCATTTATCCCGACGGAGGCTCACTGACTCCTTTGAATCTATTTGTGGAGCTGGGTCCTCCCACAGCCACGGGACAACAGAGGACTTCCGGGAAGTGGCTCTCAAACTGGCGACACACAAGAATCACTGGTGAGTGACACCGGCCCTGCTCCTGCCCACCTGATGGGGACTCCCTGAGGACGGAGCCCTGGCAGCCGGTGGTGTTGTTTATTTAAACTCCCCACCAGCCACCAGAGGAGTGAGCCCCACTGTGTTAGAGGCCCGGGCACAAAAGCAAGCCTGGGCATTGCTCCCAAGACCGGAGCCTGGGCATCGCTGCCCACCCGTCAAGCCTTCCCCTACTGGTAGCTGATCCCGGGTGGGGCCTTGTACTGGGCACAGAGGACATCCTCGCCCCACCTCCTTCTGGCCTGGGGCTGGTGGTGCTCTTTCCCGGTGGGGCCCTCCTTCTAAGCTATCATACCCTGCACCGCTGTGCCTCCTCTCCCGTCTGAGCCCCACGCCACGGTCCATCTACAGCCTCTCCCAACCTCCCTCTCCCACAGGTGTCTGCCCTGCGGCACTCCAGGCACCGCTGACATTGTGCTCTGTGGAAATGGTGCCCCTGGAGTTGTGCAAGGGGGGGAACTGCCACCCCAATTAGAATGAAACTCCTGAGGAAGCTCTGCCTCCAGCTCTACTCCCGCTGCCTCCCTGCTTCTGGCACCGGCCCTGGCTCACCCTGGACAGTGTTCTGTGCTCTGCGCCCCAGTCCCCACGTAGAGGAAGGCGCAGCGGAGTCTTCATTCTGGACTCTTCCACTGAAGATTCTTCTGCACAACCCGTTCACTTCTTTCATCATTTCAATCTACAAATGTTTGAGTACCTGCTGTGTGCTAGGTGCTTGAGCGATATCAATGAAGAAAAGGTACAAATCTTTGCCCTCGTGGAGTTTACAATTTAGCAGGACGGGAATGGGGAGTGGGGGTGACACTGATACATCACAGTTAAGGAAATCAGACAGTGTGCTGCGGGGGAGGGAATGTTCAGAGAAAAGAGGTCAGGTGGTTAGAAGTGAGTTGTGCTCTTTTTTATTTCATTTTTTTTTAACATCGTCAATCAGCTGCCTCCTGCATGCCCCCTACTGGGGATGGAGCCCACAACCAAGGTTAGGGTGAGGTGCACTCTTTTAAAGTAACATGGTCAGGGGTGCTCATCCGAGAAGGTGACCTGTGAGTGAAGACGTGAAGGAGGGGAAGAGTGAGCCCGATGGAGAGCTCGCCCATGCAGGTGCCTGGGCGCACGTGCCTCCTTCCAGAGGAAAACAGAAGCTAACCTCACGCCCGGGAGAGACACAGCGAAAAGTCTCAGGCCTGTCCCCCTTCCTGGGGAAACAGGGAAGAAATGAAGGAAAGGGCTTTAGGAACTTGAAGTTCAAAAGCAAGGAGCAAAGAAAGGAAAACGGAGTTCTTATTGTCTGGAAAAGACAATGCGACAATGGTGTGGGGCTGCTCTAGTGAGAACCAGCGTAGCCAGCCTCCACCCCGCAAACAATGGGGGAAGTGGGGCCGAGGAAGTGAAACTCTGAGCCAGAAACCTTGGGAGGCCCACCCCACCCAGGCCCAGCAGCTCTGGGCGGAGGGCCGGACGCCCAGCCCCAAGGCCCGGCCGTCCCCCTACTCCGTCCTGGCACCTGTGTTGGGCCACCCTATCACCTTCCCTCTCCCTGTGCTCCTTGCATTCACCAAGCACAGTCCTGTGTCAGGGGCCTTGCATTGCTCTTGTCTCTGCCGCCAGAGATTTCTGCCGCTCACTGTCACCTCAGTCCTGCTCTCAAATGAAGACCCTCAGAGCGGCCTTCCCTGCCCATCCTAGTCTGTAAAAACAGCCGCCACCTCTCCCGGCCTGCTCCTCTCTACCCCTATCCTGACTGCCACTATCCGACATCGTATTATCTATCAGTGTATTGGTTGTGTCTTCAGGCAGCAGCAAGGGAGCTCCATGGGGCAAAAACTGTGCCACAGTCATCACCGCATCCCTAGAGTCTGGACCAGTGCCGGGCACCCACCACGCACTCTGCTCAGCCCTTTCTTGGCCTAGGACAGTGATGGCGAACCTATGACACGTGTCATGTCAGAGGTGACACGCGAACTCATTTTTTGGGTTGATTTTTCTTTGTTAAATGGCATTTAAATATATAAAATAAATATCAAAAATATAAGTCTTTGTTTTACTATGGTTGCAAATATCAAAAAATGTCTATATGTGACACGGCACCAGAGTTAAGGTAGGGTTTTTCAAAATGCTGACACGCCGAGCTCAAAAGGTTCGCCATCACTGGCTTAGGAGATGCTGCAGAAACTACCCAAGTGCTAACCCGATTCTCTGGAAATGCTCTTCTCACAAAAGATACTCACCATATACTGGGTTGAATAGAGTCCCCCCAAAATTCATGTGCACTGGAAGTTCAGAATGTGACCCTAGCTTGAAAAGAGGGTCTTTGCATGTATAATTGAGTTAAAATGAGGCCATCCTGGATTAGGATAGGCCCTAATCTAGTGGTTCTCAACCTTCTGGCCCTTTAAATACAGTTCCTCATGTTGTGACCCAACCATAAAATTATTTTCGTTGCTACTTCATAACTGTCATGTTGCTACCGTTATGAATCGTAACGTAAATATCTGATATGCAGGATGGTCTTAGGCGACCCCTGTGAAAGGGTCGTTCGACCGCCAAAGGGGTCGCGACCCACAGGTTGAGAACCGCTGCCCTAATCCAAGTGTCCTCATAAGAAGAAAAAAACGTAGACATCGAGGGAAGAAGATGTGAGACAGAGGAGAAGGCCATGTAACCACGGTGGCAGAGATGGAGTGAAGCACCCACAAGCCCATGATGGCAGCGCCCCCCACCCCCACCCCCACCCGCACCCCCACCCCCACCCCACTGCCCCAGGAGCTAGGAAAGGGGAAAGGACAGTCTCCTACAGCCTTCAAAGGGGGCATGGCCCTGCTGACACCTACTTTCTGACTTCTAGTCTCCAAAACTGAGGACGAAAGCATTTCCGGTGTAAGCCAGCCGGTTATGGAGCTCTGTTAGGGCAGCAGAGAAGCTGGCGCCCGAGTGCTATCTGGAACTCGTCTCATAAGCGGCCAGAGACGGGTCACTCCATTGGCTGGGCCCACCCCCGGAGCGCCCCGGAGCAGTAGGCCTGCCCTGCCCTCGAGGAGCTGGGAACCACGGGAAGACGTGGTTCACAGCCTGTTCCTGCCAGGGCGTCCCTGCCCATTCTCAAAACTGCTCTTCCAGAAGAAGGAAGTGCTGGGCCTGCAGGGAAGCAAGTGACATTGTGGAGGCAAACGCTGACTGAAAGGAAAGTGTTTAGTCCCTGTCAGCAGGATGTCATCACAGAGCGGCGCTGACCACTGCACACACAATGCCAGTCACGTCTGTCATTTCAGGTGCTCCAACTACAGTTTTTAAAATGATTTGATTGAGAAGAAAGGAGAAGGAGAAAGGGCTAGAAACATCAATGATGAGAGAGAATCATTGACCGGCTGCCTCCTGCAAGCCCCACACTGGGGATCAAGCCCGCAACCCGGGCATGTGCCCTGACCGGGAATCCAACCATGACCACCTGGCTCATAGGTCGACGCACAACCACTGAGACACACCGGCCGGGCTTCTGAGATATATTTTTTTAAGTATATTTTATTGATATTTTACAGAGAGGAAGGGAGAGGGTTAGAGAGTTAGAAACATCGATCAGCTGCCTCCTGCACACCTCCCACTGAGGATGTGCCCACAACCCAGGTACATGCCCTTGACCGGAATCGAACCTGGGACCTTTCAGTCTGCAGGCCGACGCTCTATCCGCTGAGCCAAACCGGTTAGGGCTGGAGGTTTTTTTATTCTTCTTCCATACTAAGCCTTCAGAATCCAGGTGTGCACAGCTCCCCTCAGTCCAGACCAGCAACATGCCACGTGCTCCGTGGCCACACGTGGCTAGAGGAGGCCACACTGGACATGCAGCCGTGGAGGCCTCCAGACAGGCCAGCTGCGCCTCCCATGGGCCCGTGGGCCTCCAGGGCTCCATCAATGAGCGCTGGGAAGCCCGTTAATTCCCCCGACACTGCTGGCCAGAATTCGAGCCCCTGTGCTTTTTCCCCAGGAGAAGTTCGATGGTTTTACTAGATTTTCAAAGGCATCTGGGCCCCTCCACAGGGTGAAGAACAGCTGCAGTGGTTACGGATGCACAGGCTGAGGACGAGCCCCGCTCCTTCACGTGGGGGTCCAGGGGTCTGTGACAGAAAAGGGGGCGCCTTATTCAAGGGAACATACCTTTTCATGACACAGTTTGGACTAAAGGCCACAGTTCGGGATTCTTTTAGCTGCCCCCCCAGCCTCCCCCCACCCCCCCACCCCCTGCCCCGGCCTCCCACGCTCCTGCCCCAGCCGCTGAGGGCAGCTGAGATTCTCAGTGTGACATCAGCAGCGAAGAGTGTGGGGGGTGGGAACTGAAGTCAGCAAACAGTAGTTTCCACAGCTTCTTGTGCCTACAAGGGTGACACATCTTTTGTACTCGTCTTTGTTCTCATACGAGTTTCCACAGAAATGACAGCTTCCTCTTTTTTTTCTCTTGTCCCATCTTCCTCATCAGGAGCCTAACATCCGTGAGTCTCCGCCTGCCCCCCAGAGGGAGGCTCCTTCACCCCTCCCCCCATCACCCAGGGCAGACCTACCTGAAGGCTCTTTTATGAGGGCCCCCAAATCCTGCTGCTCCTCAGAATCGCCTGGGGGTGGGGTGGGGGTGGGGGAACTCCCCCGGAGCCTCTGGGACGGCCCAGGATCCTCTCCTGAGGGCTGATTCCGTTTGCGTTCGCCTTTGGCTTGTTTCTCTTCCCTAAGGGAGGTGGCCTGGCAGGGGGGGAGGGGAGGGGAGCAGGCTTGGCCATCCCCTGAAGTGTGAAGCTGGCTCCCTGTCACTTTCTAGCTCTGTGACTTCGGGCGATTTTGTGTTAACCTCTGAGTCGCTGTTTCCTTACCTGCGGAATGGAGCCAGTCTGAGATTCAATCGTCCGCAGCTATAAGAGCCCTGCTCTCGGTCCTCCCGATGCCAGCCTCCGGGGCCTCACCTCCACCCTCCCCCCCCCCCCCCCCCCCGCCCCATGCTCCCCCATCCAACTGGGATGTTTCTTTGAAGATCGTGGCCCAGTGGCTTGAAGAAGAACCAGATGTCTCAGACACCAGCATATTCCGGGTGAAGACACTTCCCTGAGTTCCACCCAAGATGCCGAAGGGTGGAAAAAGAATATTCCTGAAACCAGTTTCTGTCTTGACACGATCCCAAGCAACACTCCGCATTTCCCACCCAGTCAGTGGCTGGAATCTTCCAATTTCCTTCGGCAGAAACGTTAACGTTGACTCAGAGATAATGTAATTTTTTAAAGTCCATAGACTCCCAAGTAAGACATTGTTTCAGAAAGTCCCATGTTGGATTCCTCTCAAAGATCCCCGAGAGGGCTGCCATGAGGAACAGCATGGGTTTCCCCGTCCCGGGGCTGGGTGATGACGGGGGAGCAGGGAGCAGCCTCGGCCTCCCAGACCGTCCTGACATCCACACTTTCCTCCCCTCCCCCCTGCGTGGACCTCATCCCATACAGGCCAGGCTCCTCCTGGCGCCGGGACCCCGCTGAACCACCTGGCCTCAGTCCCCCTCGTCACACGTCACACGAGCCTCTGTTCCGCCCCAGCCCTTCTCATCCTTCACATCTCGCCTCCTCCCAGGAATGTCCAGGCCTCTCCAGGTCCCTAGGTTTGCAGGCTCCTTCTTCTGAGTTCCCAAAGCCTTCGTTACCTGCCCGTCCTCCTGACCTCTGTACTGGAAGCTGGAAGCCTGGGTTCCTAGGCAGGGCCCAGGACAGGCACCTTGCACAGAAGTGTTCAGTAAAGTTTAACTGATTGCTGGATCCCATAAGCCCTCCAAGCGGGGGAAGTGGAAATTCACATTAACTTAGGGCCTCGTCTAAATTATGTCAGCCTGAGAACTGGGCCTGCCAGATTCACGTTTAGGTCAAGTCCCATCCAACCTGAAGTTGCATAAGAGAGGAAACAAGAGTTGCTACAAAACAGCCTAACCGCAGTGTGCACATATCTTGTTTGTCATCTGCAGCGACGCGTTTGGTTTCAGACGCATAGGCCTATTGCAAGATTAGTGTTCCGGTTCAGGCTCTAGGTCTTCGCTATTAGATCAGCTGGCGGCAGTGCGGGATGAGCCTCTACGCAAGGTTTTTCTGTCACTTTCAGAAAAACTTTCATAAATGGGCTTCCCTTCAGCAAAATGAGCCACGAAGTCAAGGCAGAAACATGTTGAGAAGGAAAAAAAAAAATCCTGCCCAGGGTGTGTTTGTCCTGAGTCGTTAGCTTATTTTCGTTCATGGGCATACTGTTGTGTAATTAATCCAGGTTCCCTTTTCTCATTGGTTGCTAGGAAGCTTAGAGCCAACCCTGTGACCCCCCCAAAAGGAGGATGTCAATTTCTGTATTAGTCTCTTCATGGATCCATTTTATGTTCATCTCTCCGCTTTTTTCTCTATTTTTATCATCAAAATTTGTCTGAAGTCCTGTTTAAAATAAGGATGTGGGTAAGAGAAGGAAAAATGGTCCTTGCCCTTGAGGAATCAGGAAGAGATAAATAAGGAGCTAAGTAACAATAATGAAAAAGATACTATGAGAGTTAACATTTATTTAGCACTTATGCAAGGCAGTATGGTACGTATCATCTGACTAAATTCCCCCAACAGGCTCACCAAACTGTTTTCCCCCCAAATTAGTATTACAGATGGAGAAAGGGAACCCGAGAGAGATTAAGTCATGAGCCCAGACCACACAGCTGTTGAATGGTGTCAACGTAAGAAACATTCAAATCTGTAGATAATTTTTGTGAGTTTATTTGAGCCAAACTGACGACAGTCACCAGGAAGCAAAACCTCAAGGGATTGAGATAATGTTCCAGAGAATGGCAGTTTAGCATCTGATTTTATACATTACAATCCAAAGAGAAGACACGAGTGGGTTACATGAAACCCATTGGTGATAGGTTAGGGAGGTGGGAGAAAGCAAAGCGCAAAGTGTGGGGTGGGGAGGGGCACTGACCTCTGGGATTGGATAAAGAGTAAAATGAGCCCTGGCCGGTGGGCTCAGTTGGTTGAGCTTCGTCCCGCGTGCCCAAGGGTCCCTGTTCGATTCCAGGTCAGGGCACATGCCCAGGGATCGGGTTTGGTCCCTGGTTGAGGAGTGTGTGGAAGGCAACCAGTCAATGTTTCTCTCTCACATTGATGTTTCTCTCTCTCCCTCCCTCTCTCTCTAAAATCAATTTTTTTAAAAAAGCAAAATGATAGATATATACCTCTTTTACATAGTGAAAGGCGCGCCGCCCGCCTCTCCGGGCGGTGCGGGAGGAGGAGTCTGGCCGCTGGGCTCTGGGATCCCTCCGCGCCCGCCGTAGGGCCTGGCCTCCCCGGAGCGGGTCCGAGTGTCCGGACCGGCTGCGTGGTGGCCGGCCGCGGGCCGAGGGGTGGGGCCGGGCGGCGACCGACCGCGGGGGAGGTCATGGGAGCGGAAGGCCTCACCGCCTGGCTCTTCCCTCCCTTCCCCCGTGGTCGGCTCCCCGCTTGCCCGCGCTGGGGCCGGGGGTCCATGCGGCCCTTGGGGCCCGGTCGGGGGGGCCGGGGCCTGCGTGGGCCGACCGCTGGGCCCCATGGGGGGGGCATTGGCTCCCCAGCCCACGGCGGGAGCCCGGCGTGGGCTGCCACCCGCCCGCTGCCCCCCGGACCGGGCCCAGTGCAGCAGCGGCGCCGGAGTGGGGCGCGTGCCCTAGCTCGGGGAGGCCGCCATGCTGCAGTGCACCGGCCCCATGGCCGGGCCTGCTCGGAGCGGATGCTGCTCCTCCAGAGCTGGGCCGCTCCACCGGCCGCACCCCGTTTGCTGGGCCTGTACCGCCCAGTCTGCCCGCAGGCCGGCTGCGGGTGCTGTGCGGGGGGCCGTCCTGCCTTGTGGTGAGTTCGAGAGGCAGCGGCAGGAGCCAGGCAAGGACTGCGCCCTCCATCTTGCCTTGGGTCCTCCATCTTGGGACAGAGCCATGTGCGCCCTCCATCTTGCCTTGGGTCCTCCATCCTGGGACAGAGCCATGTGCGCCCTCCATCTTGCCTTGGGTCCTCCATCTTGGGACGGTGCCATGTGCTTCCTCACGGGAAGAAGCCGCTGCTAGCCACACCCAGGATTTCTCTGGACTAACCAATAATAATCAAGGGAAGTGCACGCCATCACTATGACCGACTCGCGCCCGGCCAGTCGGCGGGGCCCACAGTCCCCTCTCCTGTCCTCACTCCACCCCCCTTTAAAACCCCCTGTCCCATCAGGCGTCTCTCTCTCTCGGCCACTGGAGCTTACCGTTGCATCGGTGAGTGTGGCAGGGGAGCCAAACCTAGGTCTGAAATAAATGACTCTTTGCTTTTGCATCGGACTGACGGGCTCCCTGGAGGTCTTGGGAACTTTGAATTCTGGGCACAACAATAGGTGTGTACATTGGTTGGGCTCTGAGGTGTCCAGAGAAAGAGAAGTTACCCTGACATTACAAAGGTATGTTTTTGTAGATGCCAAAAGACAGTAGGCTTCATTCAGGTGAAAGTTGACCTTTGTCAAGGAAGATACCAGCCTCGTACATGACCACCCACCATAAACTGCTTTTAGTGAAGAAGTTTTCATTTCAGACCATCCTATGGGGTTACTTTAGGTCTCTGAGTGTGTCAGGCCATCCCACAGGCCTCCCCTAAGCTTGTCAAGTTTAGTAGGTGCTCCCTTTTCATCCACAATAGTATAGCTGGTCCCAAGTCCAAGTGTGGGTGATGCCAAAGCTTGGACTCATAGGCACGATATCTACAAAATCAAATGTTAGGGGCAAAAAGTGAAGGTGCCATAGTGGGGTTTGTAGAGAGTCAGTGGATTTAACAGTAACTGCGGGCCAGCCTGCCCTAACGTATGCCAATGTCTTTGACTTAAGCAGAGAATATTACTACTAGGTACATAGCACCTTGGTTGTAATAACAAACAGCTAAGAAAGCAAAGAGCCTGAGGGTCCCCATGCTCCTGCTGCTAACTTCCCCTCAAACCCAGGCTTCAGGGAGTTCACGGGCAGCACACCCCCTGAGGGCAAGGACTGTGTCTCATTGTTGACGCTGCAGATGAAGACAGCTATACCCAAACCCACAGAACTGTATTCTGATCACATCCATAACCACACATCCAGGCCCCACAGAATCCTATAGAGGCACCTGCCTTTACCATGAAAACATTGCTCACAGAAGCGGTGCACAACTTTTCAAATTTCAATGAAAAGAAAAAGATAGTAAGCTGGCTACTTTATATACAGAAATAACCAATTAAAAGCAGGTCTGGCCTGGCCCATGTGGCTCAATTGGTTGAGCTTCGTCCCATGCACCAAGAGGTCACGGTTCAATCCCCGGTCCGAGCAATGCCTGGGTTTCAGGCTCAATCCCCGGTAGGGGGCTTGTAGGAGGCAGCCAATCGATGTTTCTTTCTCTCATTGATGTTTCTACCTCTCTCCCCCACTCCCTTCCTCTCTAAAAATCATTTTTAAGATGTAAATTAAAAACAAAAACAAGCTGAAACCGGTTTGGCTCAGTGGATAGAGCATCAGCCTGCGGACTGAAAGGTCCCAGGTTCGATTCCGGTCAAGGGCATGTACCTTGGTTTTGGGCATATCCCCAGTAGGAGGTGTGCAGGAGGCAGCTGATCGATGTTTCTCTCTCATCGATGTTTCTAACTCTCTATCTCTCTCCCTTCCTCTCTGTAAAAAATCAATAAAATATATTTTAAAAAAAACAAAAACAAAAGCACAAGTCTGCATCCAGAGTAAAGTAGAAGATTCAGGGCTTAGTAGGCAGTTCACACTTAGATGGCTGGGACACTGATTTCCACCAGTGCTGATGTGGAATTAGTAAAAAGTGGGGTCACCCCTGAGGTGTGTGGACAAAAAAGGGGTGCTGTAATAGATCATCAATTCCTAACTGGGCAGGTCATGGTGGGTAGTCATGTCCCA